AAGGACTGATCATATGGTATGCAATGCTGATGCGATGCTACTATGCCAGCTTATCCAGTGTGAGGGGTTATATGCATTGCATGGGGGAATTATGGATGACTAGAAAGGGAACATCCATACTGACCAAGAAGCACCTAGTAGCTCAGTGCAATGTTCCTTGAATTTACTAAAGAGTGAACTCTCTCGCAAAGAGGGAATTTTTGTGTATAAGTTTATGCTGGTGCTCCAACGTTACCTCCCATTCCAAAAAAGAAGCTGCAGACGCTCCCAGGAATGAACAGCTGGGCCATGTCTAGGTTTTGTGGGTGATCAGAGATGATCCCTTGAATGCAAGATGTGTGCAAACAACAACCTAACAAACTGTGGACTGAATTACACACTGTCAAAGGCTGACAGGGCACTGACTACTTCCTGCTGTGAGTCACGTTGGAAGACTGGACCATTTCTCTTTGAAGGCTTGTGCGCAGGTGGCTTGGGTCCTCTCAGAGGCCTGGCGGTTTGGGGGATCTGCGCAGCATCTGATGACATCTGATTTTATTTGGAGTCTGCTGGAGCTACTGTTTGAGTTTGGGGGGTTACAACTCCTAATGCTGCTATTACCAGTGGTATCACTTTGGACTTTGTATCTTTCACTGTTTCTATATTTTCTCATGCTCCTTCTTCCTGATGTTGCTATCAACAACTACAAATCACAACTCTTCTACTCATTATCAGCATCCACTATATCAGGTTGGTTAGCCAGCATCTGCTTGTCTGTCTGGAACCTTATCCTTGTTGTTCTCAACAACGTTTAGTCTCCCATCGGGACTTGGGGACTTCTACTCTGTATGCGGCAAATATGTTCCTGCACACTATCCCAGCCACATAGTTGTGCTTGTCAGTGTATGCAGTCCCAACTTCCATCTTATATCCTGCTATCAGGCAACTAGGTTTCTTTCATTTCTAGAGAGGTTTAGTTGCTTTCTCTTTCAAACTTTCACGACTGTTCTTGGTTAAATGGTATCCACTTAAACATATTAGCCTACAGAAACCAAAGGAAGCAGAAATAACACAGAATTAGCCAGAAAGGGAACAATGCAGTCCAAGGTAGAATTAATTTGTTGATGCTTGGTGACGGTATCGTCAATACTAGTTTGTGTCTTAAGTGCGGAGTTGTTTTAACTGAAAGATATTGTATTCCTATATTATTTTCCTCTCACACCTCACAAAAATGCTGTTACTGTATTTGTTTAATGAAATTAAAGTTCACCGTTCATGTAGGAAATTGTAACACTATGAATACAGCTTTAATTATGTGTCACCATGTGCAATCTATAAATTCTTCCTGAATCTTTATGAGCATAAATCCACAGTGAGAAACATCACTCCTACATAAGCACAGCATGAGAATAACCTCAGGCACACATACACATACACTCACTGAAGAAAGCGAACACACAAGAGGTTTATAGAGCCTCTGTTGGATGTTCAGTCTCATTAGAAGTGTTTCCTCATGAATAACATTATTCAGGATGAATCACTTGATTATAGATTTCTCTGTGTGTGCGCGTGTGGTGGCTATGTGGGTCGACAGCTTTCTCTGCATGCATCTGTCTGTGTCTCTCTGTGTGTGTGTGTGTGTGTGTGTGTGTGTGTGTGTGTGTGTGTGTGTGT